ACGCGCTAATTCGAAGTGTATTGGATTATGGTACTTTCCTTTTAGAACCTGCCAGCTTAATTTCATTAAAAAAATTAGACGGTATTCAATCAAAAGCACTTAGAATTATAACTGGTGCTATGACCTCAAGCCCAATTAATGCTTTACAAATCGAAACTTGTGAACCCCCACTCAGTATTAGACGACAATTTCTTGCAGATCGATTTTTGTTCCGATCTCTTCAATTCTCCGACCATCCTCTTTTCCACCTACTTAACTCTCTGAACAATGAAATAACTACAGCTAGCTATTGGTCTCATAAACAACTGCCTTGTTTAATAGTAAGCTATCAAAAATACTTGATCCTCCATTCACCTATACATCGGTCAAATCGTCTTCCAGTGTTTAATATAGATTATGACGCCTTGCTAATTTCACCATCTGTAAGGTACGATCTGATAGATAAACATAACGCTAAAACCTTTAAATCAATTATAGATTCCGAATATGAAAATTACCATCATATATACAGTGATGCTTCTAAGTCTTCCTCTTCTGAATGTACGGGCGTAGGAGTCTACCACTCTCAGTTTTCCATTGTGCAGAAAAGTAAACTTCCTCCGGAGACATCTGTATTTACGGGGGAATGCCTAGGCTTACTAAAAGCTGTTGAGTATGTCGTTCTCATGAAACTAAATAAATCAATAATATTTTCTGATTCAAGGAGTGCTTTACAAGCTATTGATAATTTTCCATTCCGTACAAGATTATATAACCCACTTGTGTTTGATATAAGAAATAATCTTTATAAATGTGTTAAAAAAGGGTATCTGGTAGAATTTGTGTGGCTTCCAAGTCACGTGGGAATTCAAGGTAATGAGAAGTCTGATCAATTAGCAAAAGAGGCAGTACACTGTGGAGACATGTTTCCTTTTAAAATTTATACCCATGACTTGTTGTTGTTGCCGTTGTGTCATTTGCATAAGGAGTGGCAAACTTATTGGACAAATAGTGGACAAGTAAAGGGAAAACATTATTATCAAATACAACCTAAAATTATGATGAAACCGTGGTTCCGTAAAATTAAGATCAGTAAGACTGCTACTAGTATTTTAATACGCTCGAGAATTGGTCATGTTAGTACACCAGCACATCTTACTAAGCTAGGAATTGTTAGTGATGCTTCCTGTAGGTGTGGGTCAGACTATTGTGATCTTAACCACATATTGTTTTCTTGTACACTATACGATCGATCCGAATTCTTTAAAGATCTCATATCCTTACGTGTTTCCTTTCCCACATCCATAGTTTCTTTGCTCTCGTCTAATAACATATCAGTATATCAATGCATAGCGTCTTTTATAATGTCAAATAATATTAAAGTCTAAATATCGTTATTCCTTTTTATGTATGTTATATAACGTATATATTTTACATATATTAATATTTTCGTTTCCTGATCCTATTGCTAAAATCTTGTCGCAAATCCTATCCTTTTTCCTACCATCGTTTCCCTACCTTTGACACTGGCAAATACACAAACCGTGTGACGCCAAAAGAAGAAAAAAAAAAAAAATGGTTGCCAATTGCAACTGCATCAAAATTATCGACACCTTTTTCTAAGGTGAGCTTAATATATTAGCATCTGAGTCTGACGGTCTGTTTTTCTCTTTAAGGATTTGGGTTACCGCCTTTTTCCCTATCCCCAACGCTTCAGCAATACATTCTCGTGTTTCCGTTACAGTTAAAAGAGGTCCACCGTTAAAACACCGTTCCTTTTACCTAACATATTAAAAAATATATGAATTGTTTATTGAATTTTAAAAACTAATTTCCTTTTAAACATGAAAGAAAACCAGAAGGGTTGTCATGGAGAAATCAAGTACGTACCGTGGCGACATCTAGTTTGATTTCGGCAACTAATGGTTTTTTTTTAAGATTTCCTCATATGTAGTACTATTGTCCGATTACGGTTTAACACTAAATCACTTCCTTTTAATAGAGTCTGGCAAGCGAAACGTGTCACAAGAAAAGGGCGGCAATTTCAAAAATTCTTAAGCAGTAAACACTGAATGTAGTACTGCAAAATAATTTTGATACTTTTATTAATTATATTTAATCTTAACATTTAGATATCAATTAAAATTATTTGTTTTGGAACATTTGACTAAAGCGTGACTGTTCTTAATTGTACAGTTAACAGCATATCAGTAGGCCTATTCACTAACTCAACTGACAACCAAGAATCGTCATCACTTGATTTCGTATCGATAAACTGTATTAAAGTAACATTGTTGCAAAGCATATTTGAAGTCGTCGCATAGTACCTCTTAAGCCATTTGTTGTTAAATTAAAGCGAAAAAAAATACGTATCCAATATTTTTCTATTATCTGACTGACGGACTAAATCGAATCTTTTTTTTAACCCATTCGTTATACCTATTGGTTAACAGCACTTATAATATTAAAAATTCATATTTGTCATTAATTAAAAGGGTGTTTTTTGCAACGACTTCTTTGTTTTTTTGTAATGAATATGGGCGACTCTGGCCACATTTTTTTAATAAATGTGATGTTAGCCAATTTTGATTTCTGGCCCTTATATTTATAATGTGTTCATAACACATACATGTCTCCTAAGGGATTTTCATCACAACCTTTTGCTCTGATCCAGAACCACTATCTATCAAATTAAATTAGTCAATATAAACACCAGATTACAATAAAAAAAACATTTATTTTTGTTACAATTAAGTGCCATGGATAAATTACATAATACAGGTGTCACAAAATCATCATGTTAATCACAATAGAAAATTTAAGATAAGATTTTGACTATGAATCAGACTAAAAATACTTTAGTCTGATTCATAGTCAAAATCTGTTTCTAAATATTCTACACCTGATAACAATGACAAGGAATCATCAGAGTCACTCTCTTCACTACTGTCTGCACCAGCAGATATAATAAATTTTTCAAGTTCGTTTTCAACAATGCCATCTTTTAATTTGTAATCATTTTCGACATTTAAAACATGATCAGTGTATTTCTTCCAGTCACTAGGGGTAATTAAGTTAAAACACTCTATTATTAAGTTTTCCATTTCCTTTCCTGGTATTCCAATGTTTCTGCTTGCAATTTTTCTTTTTGCTTGACTCCAAACCATCTCTATTGGGTTTAAGTCACAATGATACGGTGGCAGCAATAAAAGTTCATGATTATGTTCTTTTAAAATCTCTTCAGCTTCATATACAGGCAATGTTTTCTTATCATTAACCAAACACATTAACTCTGCCTTTGTCTGATATTCCTCAAAATGTATTCCATTATTTACAAGCCATTTACGGATATCTGCTTTGGTATTAGACATTATAGGCGGTTTATTGATTTGTTTTATATGGTAGCTGGCATTATCCATAACAATTACACTGGGCTTACTTAAATTTGGTATTAATTTTTCTCTGACCCATTTCATAAAGTTCGATGAGTTCATATCATCATGATAATCAGCAGATTTGGATTTACTACTGAACACTAATAATGCACCAGGCACAAAACCTTCCTCAGATCCAGCATGCACAACAATATGCCGTTTTCCAGAGGATATCTTTGTAGTGACACCAGTTGTTGAAGGTCCTTGCCAAGACTTTTTAACTTTATAATTCTGATGTACATAAGTTTCATCAAGGTACACAATTTGCTTTCCTTCGTTTCGTTTTATATTTATTTCTCTCAAATACTTGTGCCTCCATGCAGAAATCTGGTATTTTTCTATAAGCATAGAACGTTCATTTTCATTGCTTTTAAAAGAAAATCCATTCTTAAGCATAATTTTTCGTAAAGTCTCACGGCTACCACTGAATCCTATTGCATCTTTTAATTCATTGTGAAGGCTTCTTAATGTTGGAACAATTTTTTTCACACAGTAAAATTCATTTACTTTATTCCGAATTGCACTTAAATCAAAATTATCTAAAGCAGACACTGTTGGTTGATGAGGTCGTTTTTTCCCAGGAGTGTCCCATTTTCCTTTATTAATTAATGCTTCATTTTTTATCCTTCTTAGTGTCCTTATACTTACATCTATAAAAGATTAAACACTTTGAAACAAAGATATGTTAAATGTATTTAAAAGCAAATAATGATAGACACATACATCAAAATAATTTAAATACCTATTCAACTATGAATGCAATTTATGTTTAATTTAGTTAAGTTTATGTGCATATTTAGCATGTATAACAATTACATGGTTTGATTAGTTTCATGAATTCTGTGAATTTCCTTGTTAAACAAAACATTCTTATGACATCATTGGATGTCAACAATAAAAACCAATACATCATAAAAAACCTATGTAAATATTATAGGAATACTATCAATCTATCTTAAATCAAAACAAGAAAAGAGACCTGTCATTGAAGAAATTTTTTGTAAGTACTGCGTTTCCGAATTCAGCATTTCTTGTTTTTCTAAAGTTTTTATTGCATTTATCTCCTCCATTATTGGTTGAATATCACCATCACAGTTATCTGAAATAGAGCAATATTTTATAAAAAATATCTGTTTAGTTAATTACAGAAAATTAAAACGAAAGTATCAAAATTATAATACAAAACTAACCTAAAAAAGATACAACTTTATCTAATCGTTGTAATTTCTCCATGAAATTTTTATTTAATTCAGTTTTCACTTCAGTAAACTTGTCAATCATGATGGAAAGAAGTTTCCTCGATGAACTTTTTATCGGCTTCGACATAATTTTTAACCAAAAACACAAGTTCAAATTCGCAAAAACAACAAAATTCAATATTCTTGAATTGTCTAACGTAGTGTCAAACTGACAGTTCTATGTTGTTGCCATATGAAAACGGAAAAATAGGTGGTGTCACGTTTCGCTTGCCAAACTCTAAGTACTGTGCCTTGAAACATAACATAACTTATTAGTACACCGTTCGTACGCGTACTACACAACACTAGTGGACAGTGACCATCATTATTATATTACTCTTTGGTTGTCATACCCTATCTGTGTAGTTTGTGCATTGTTTGTGTGATTTGTGAAAAAATTATGTTGCTATCGATGCAAATATTGTGCTAAAATTTGTGTAAGATTTTTTCGTGTTGAGTGTTTTTACAACTAGAAACGGCCAAAATTTTCAGTTTGAGGGCTTATCCACAGGTCCAACAATAACATCTCTATCGTAAGTGTTCATTCCTTTATTTTGTACATTTTCATTAAATTTTCGCGTTTACTATGATAATTGGATGCTTTTTTTATGATGAACTATATAGAAAATGTTTTCATTCCTTCTTTGAAGCGATATGTATTTTCATTCTTAATTTGAAAGGTCACAATTAATTACTTAGTTGGTATATTAATCATACTTTCCCTAACTTTCATATATGTACATACATATTGGAATGTCATTATTTAACATGAAATTGCATATAAACTAACTAACCAGTAATTACTGCAATAAAAATAGTTCATTTTAAGCATTCAAATAATGTTATTCATGTGAATATCATGTAAATTAAAATGGTTTTAGTACAAAATTTGTTGAAAGCAAATTATTATTTTAAAGTCATCAATCTTAATCACGAAAGGCTTGTAGTTACTATGTTTGTGGTGCTTTTTTATATGAACCCATACTAAATATTATACTTGTTAAAGTATGTTTTCCTACCATCTTCCATCTGTTTTCACTCCTAAAACACTGAACCATTTTTAGTAAAGTTGACTTTGAGAAAGGACATAGGTTATCTTTTATTATGAAAGGGTTGTAGGCATTGGTAAATAGGGGATGACATAAGTTTGCCATTGAAAGTAAAAGATGTGTATGTAGATTGTAAAAGATATGAAGAAAATATTTTCTTTTAAATAATTTTGTAGTCAAATAATATAAAATTTTGTTGATTAGTATGATAGATTAAATTAATTGAAGTAAATAATTATCAACATTTGCTTATGGGTATAATTACAAGTACTTGTATTATTTTTTTATTAACTAAAACTTGGTACTATTGCTTTACTACATTAGATTTAACTCAATCCAGTGCAATACTAGTGCATGTGTACTAATGGTTTTAAATAATTTAATATTCTTACAAGGTAAGGTATTATTTTGATTGTAAATAGTACTTGATTGTTAATGGTATTATTTTGATTGTTAATAGAAATAGTATTTTCATTTTTTTTTTGACAAGTCATAAACTCTCCTGACTTTCTTATTGAGTTTATGTTTGTTTATAACATCATATAGCAAAGTTTTACATTTGACTTACATTATCCTTTTATTCTCACTTAGGCTTAATATAAGTTGTTAGCGGTATTAATTTCTTACGTATACTTATTATGTGACAGAATAATATCAATATCATTGTATCAGTGCAGGATCTTGTAACTAAGCTTTTCTTGTCTATTGTAAATTTTAAAAGCTCCTGCTCTGATGCTGATAATATTGAATTTTGAATGTTAGATTTATCTAACAATGATATTACCATGTCTGTCTAACTAAGTAAGATCGTAAGTTTTTTAGTAGTAACTAACTATAATTAATTTTGCTTTGAACTTGACTCGACTTGCACAGCACTGACACAGCATAGAGGTCAACCAAATAGTAGGTAAAATTAAAAGTGGCAATGTCTTTCCTTTAATGCAAAGTCAAGTTCAACACTGATTTTATTACAAAACATTAAAGCAGGCATTGAATCTGGGCTGAATCTGTGAAGGCTGCCTTCTCGACTTGTTACCCTGTTGGTTATGACCGACCTGGTGGCTTTGAGGGAAGCTGAGGAGTCGGCCAGCATTTGCTGGTGAGGGAATTCACAAGGGTTTAGCCCAGGTGAACTCCCTTTCTTATACTGGTTAGGGTGAGAGATGCACAGTTGCGCATCTCTTGCCTATGACGACGGGGTCGCGCGCTCGTTAGGCATTGCACACTCTTTGTCCTGACTGGGGGGTTGGACTCGAATGTTCCTGAGCCCTTCCCTTAAACCGTGACGGGACCTGTCCTGTAAAAGGGGCGGGTCGAGCTTGGACGGCATGCGCGGGAAGTGGTTCCTTTGGGGACCGTTACGTTGCGTCGTTCCCCCGCAGTGAAGGTCATCGCTGAGTTTTAGTAGGTAGGCCACTGCTTTTTGACCAGCCCCCACTCTGAGGGTTGGTCTGCAGGGGAGAGCCCCACATAACCCGTGGAGCTCGCGCAGGGTGAAGCGGGTATGCGTAACGCATTTCTCAGCGTAACAATAAAGGCGTTGAATCTGGAAACTCAGATATGGCAATATCTTGAAAATGGCCTGCCTGTAGGGCAATTTTGTTAATGTAAGCGTTATGATCGAAAGTCAATAGTGCTTCAACTACAACCCTTTATGACACAGTCCTTACTAGATCACAGAATAATATAAATATTACTGTCATGATTTATTTGTAAGGAATACATTGCGCAAATAGTATTGTATTAGTACAATAGCAAAATGCAAAAGTAGTTGAGATTCTATTGAGATGGTATTATTCCGAGAAGTCAAGAGGTGCTCGTGTTGGATATTTCGCTGACACTTAATTCATTTCAATTTTATTTAAAATAGTGCTCAAATGTATTGTTACTGTTGCATTATGTACATAAGTACGTGTATTTATTGAACAGTGGCAATGCTTAACAAAGCATTTGACATTGACGCCGCTTCAGTGCGCTGAGTGCGGATGCACTTCGTTTAAATTACAGCTACGATTTGGCGGTGTTTTTGTTACGTAATCTACTTAATTGACTTTTTGGCGGCCGTTAAAGTGTTTTTCGTTGTAGTACTTTTGTAATTACGTATGGAAATTAAAAATGAATTGAATAAAGAAATAAATACATACTTATACATCACACGCATTAGCTTTGAGTACAAATCATTATATATATCTATGATATATAAAGCTTATTATATATATATTATGGAAACCCGAAACGACAAAGGTATTAAAACATCCAGTATACGCGGGCTCCTTGCCAGTTCCGGGCCTTTAGGACGGGTGTGGGGTCGGAGGGCCCTGTTATAAGGCTTAAAAATTGCATTTCGGCTGCGTTAAAAAAAGGCCCGAGACAGTATAGAAAAAATATCTTTTTTTTCGTTGACCTAGTAGGCCTTGTAATTTTGGAGGTCTTGTTTTTGCCGTATAATATTTAGAACAGGAAAGGAAGTATGTATGATTATGACTATTATCATACATACTTCTATGTTTTCTTCTATTTGGTTAGGGTATAGGTTTTTACAAACTTTTCTTCAAACAAAAAACAATATCTATAATCATGAATAATATATTCGCTGTTGTTGGTCACGACTCTAGCTCTCAACCATTTCTCAATGCCGTTCGACCATTTTCTTCTTCTTTCTTCAACGGGCGTTTCCGCAACTCTACGATCTTTCTACATAAATCGGTCGGTATGGGATTGAAGAAATTGTTCTATTGCTCTATTTATTGTCGAATATATCATATAGTTTGATAGCAGCAGAAAAGACATTAATCCAAGGGCGCAAGGACCGGCGAGGTAGACGTTGTAGGAGTGCGATTTTGGCAACGTGTACGACATGGGACCTGCGCCTAACTCCGATAGCTTATACTCTAGCCATAGGTAACGATATCTTAGCGATGTTATAGCACTATTTCTTTTCATTTTACTACTTTGAAATGTACTTAACGAACCATGAGAGTGATAAATATTGATTTGATGACAGCTTTGTTTTTAACTTAGTTATTTATTCCAAATTTATCCACCAAAAGATATGTCAAAGTACTTTCTTTGTTTCATATTTGCATATAAAGCTTCGCAACTCATTTCCGTGCTGTAAACTCGCCTCTGACGTCTTCTTAATATAGGTAAACCTACATTGCAAATGTCCCCAGCTGGTTTCTTTTTGCCTCATAGATATTCCACTTCTAAATCCCAAAAGTAATGATAAATTAAACAAGACAACACAGCTTTGCGGAGCTGGAAAAGCTTTATTTAATATTATCTGTCATACCTATAAAAAATTTGTCGTGTAAAGGAAAAACTTATCAAAAACTACGAACTTATTCCCCAATCATTATATATAATAATGGATTACACGAAGAGAATTACAGGAAGACCTATGAGAAGTCTGTGGTTTATAAAATTTAATATTTGTACGGAACCCTCTGCAGCTCTGACTTGACCGGTTTTACTAACGCACGAATTTCGTTGTAACTGATAAGTAACCAGATTTATACTGGGATATCTCTATCTCCAATATTTTTCTCGCTGGCATTATGATCACCGGCATCATAGTACGTCAATATGATAAAGTATAAAATATATCAATAGCGCCAAAATATATCAGTTCGGTATCTCCATGCCGGATCACTTGAGACGTAGGTAAAGAGGACTGAACATCATAAGCCATCATATGTTATACTACTTCATATGCAAGACCGGTAATATGGCAGATGCATAAAATCCAGATGTGCCAGGACAAATCTTGACACATGGTCACCCTATATACAGACTGCATATAGCGGTATCTCACTTCAACATTTGCAATCATTATAATGTCCATGTCCAACGAGATAATCAAATCGTAGGACGTAAAAAAATACAGATATACGTTGAAATATATCGTCAACGCCAGGCGGCTTCAGCTCTGGTTTACATTTTCTTTAGCTTAAAATGTTTAAGATATACATATGCTATGTTTTTTTATGTTTATGTATTTGTATTATATGTTTCTGTATTTCACTGTGTTGGTTGCTTAAAAAAAAAACGATTTAATATATATATATTTTTTTATATAAAAATAGCGGTCGACTAAAGTTGACAAAAAAAAATTATCCATTATTAGTGTTCTCGATGTTGTCATGGTACGCGTGGCTTGGGGCGAACGCTGCTTATTGCCCACCATAGATTGACATTGGAAGGTTTAAGTGCGTATGCCGCCATCTTTGACCTGCTCCCACTCAGGTGGTGGGTTCACAGGGTAGAGTCCTACATACATACTGACTGTAATATAAATGTGCCAAGCAAAAACAAATTCTTTACAAAGAATATGTATTTTGTGAATTGGTATTATGGGGATTACAATCGGGCATAGCATCCGGTGTATTGGGCATAGTAGACCAATCGTTTGTATTTGAGTTTCATATGGTCATAGCGCGTTAGTAGTTGTAATATGTGAGTCAGAATGGACAATGTGTTGAAAT